GCTTGTTATTTATTTGTAACATAAAATACACTTACTCTGTCTATTGAGGATGCAATGGAAATCCATCATGCTGAAATTTACTCTTATTACAGAACTGATAAGATAAGCACCAGTGAATCCACTATTAATTAACCTTTAGCATCCTCAGTGCAGAGCTTAATTGAACTTCATTAGTCTGTACGCACTGCGTTACCTAAAACAATGCATTTTTGTCTTTTTTTTTTCATCTTCCAAACTAATGGTTTTGAATGCAATATTAAGATATCTTCAGATTTTCACATAATCCATCTTTGGTCTGATGTCCAGTTGAAATAAATATGCATTAAAACCTAGTGCCACTTTTACATAGCAGACAGAGAGTTTAATTAATATATTTAAAATGTGCCTCAAACCCATCTCCATCCCAGGAAAGCTTATGGTCTCCCAGAGTAACCTCTACGTCACATGTCACTTGCTCTCTCCTAAAGGGCAGCACTTTACTCTCTCCTCCAGCTCTGCTTCACTCCACCTTATTTGATTGCTACCTCCTGTCCTTTTGTGTTTTATGCCCCACCTCCTATAGACTGTAAGCTCGATTGAGCAGGGTCCTCTTCAACCTATTGTTCCTGTAAGTTTTTGTAATTGTCTCATTTATTGTTAAATCTCCCCCTTTGATAATATTGTAAAGTGCTACGGAATATGTTGACGCTATATAAATACCAGTAATAATAATAATAATAATATGAATGTATACCTATGAATAGAGAGTATGTAAAACCATTATGTCATACATACAATGGTAACTATGAGTACAATCAACTGATATCCGCGTCAGTGCATTTAACATAAAAGATTATTCAGATGACACCTGTCCTTTAAACTTAAAAAGAGCTAGCTCTTGACCAGCTATATCCCACCTCTTTGATCCTCCTTTCCTCCTTATTTTACTGGCTTTACTATGACTACATTCAAGTTACCCCACCCTGTTTAAAATATGAGAAAATCAGTCTTAATGCATATAAACTAAACTATGATAGTATAGTCTACATATTTACATTGACTGGATTAACATAGAGGCTAACGGAGCTGTAGCTCCAGGCCCATTAGTGTCCACTAATTTAAAAATAATAATATTTTTTTTACGATTCTTCAGATGCAGGGCCGGACTGGGAAAAAAATTAGGCCCGGGCATTTTTCAATCAGACTGGCCCCCTAAGTAGGGGGTGTAGCCAGAGAGGGTGTGTTTTGTCATCACTAATGACAAGCACGCCCCCTCTCAAAGTGAGCATGTTGGTTCAATGCGCAGAGCCCCGCTGAAGAGCTCTAGCATTAGAAAAAGGCCCTGTATTTGTTCTGCGCAGCGCAAGCAAATTTAATAACATACTTGCACTGTGTTTGCTTTTAAATTGTCTCTGGTGTCTCCACAAGTGGGATACCAGAGGACAAATGGGCTAGGAAAGTGTATGGTGCATGTGTTTGGAGCCTGCTTGTGGGATTGCTTGTGTGTAGAGTGTGGTGTGGTATTGTGTAAATAGGTCAATTTCATTTGTGTTTATGGTGTAATATGTGTGGCTAGGGGCAGTGTGTGTGTGTAGGAGATCTAGTGTGTATAGGAGATTGTGTGTGTGTGTGTGTGTGTGTAGAGGATTAAGAGTGCATATAGGGTAAGGGATCTAGCATGTATCTGGAGCATAATGTGTGTAGTGGTGCAGTGTGAGGGATGCTGTAGTGTGTATATATATATATATATTTGGACATATTGTATGTGTGAGGGGCGCAGTGTGTGTAAGAGGGGTGCTGTGTGTGAGGGTGTTTTTATCTGCCATCACATGCTAGGTTTCTAAATTTTTTTGTCTGTTAACTCACTGAGGGTTATTTTATTTATTATCTTTATATGTGTGTGTGTTGTATATGTGTGGGAGTGTGCTGTGTGTGGGTGCTGTGTGAGTGAGGGTGCTGTCTGTCTGAGGGTGCTGTGTGCGTCTGAGGGTGCTGTGTGCGTCTGGGGGTGCTGTGTGCGTCTGGGGTGCTGTGTGTCTGGGGGTGCTGTGTGTGTCTGGGGGTGCTGTGTGAGTGAGGGTGCTGTGTGTGTCTGAGGGTGCGGTGTGTGTCTGAGTGTCTGTCTGAGGGAGCAGTGTCTGTCTGAGAGTGCTGTGTGTGTCTGATGGTGCTGTGTGTGTCTGGGTGCTGTGTGTCTGGGTGCTTTGTGTGTCTGGGGGTGCTTTGTGTGTCTGGGGATGCTGTTTGTCTGGGTGCTTTGTGTGTCTGGGGGTGCTGTATGTGTCTGGGGGTGCTGTATGTGTCTGGGGGTGCTTTGTGTGTCTGGGTGCTGTGTGTGTCTGGGGGTGCTGTGTGTGTCTGGGTGCTGTTTGTGTCTGAGGGTGCTGTGTGTGTCTGGGTGCTGTGTGTGTCTGGGTGTGCTGTGTGTGAGTGTGAATTTATTTTTTATTTAAATTACAATATATTTTTTTACCCTCTCTTCTTACCTTTAGCCTGGGAGGGGGGGAGCCTTATTGCCATAAGGGGGTGCCGTGCTGCCCTGGTGCCATCCTTCCCTGGTGGTCCTAGTGGTGAGGGTGAACTCAAGCCTGCAGGCTAGAGTTCACTCTCGCGAGATCTGAGCGTTGCCGTGGTAACCGCAGCAATGCTCAGAATCCCGCGAGAGGACCTGGCGGAGCTGCTGGCTAGAGCTCCACCGGGTCCTCTCCTCCCTCCCTCACTCCCCAACCTGCGGCCGCATCTCAGTGCCTGTGGGCCAGTGGGGGAGATCTTTGATCTCCCCACCGGTCCATGGAGGCACACAGCAGGGCTGGCGCTGGGGTAGCGCTGACCCTGCAGGGACTGGCAGGGGAGATTCTGTGATCTCCCCAGCCGGGCTCGGCCCTCGGCCATCGCGGCCCACCGGGCATTTGCCCGGTATGCCCGATGGCCAGTCCGGGCCTGTTCAGATGCTTTTGCTTTGTGCAGAGGGAGTTTGATGAAAGGGAGCAATTAACTAGTTTAGGTAAAGCAGACTTTGCACACTGTACAAATACTCTTTCTGTTTCAGTTCTCTATAGTGTGCCATTTCCACTTTCTTCTACATTTACTATATTTACCTTTTTGCATTCCAGGAGCGTTGGCCAATTAGTAAGTAGTGAAGGAGAGAAGTAGACAAATGAGTGCTTGGGGACACCAGGGAAGTGTCCTCAGAAAGTGTAGAGCGAGTGCTTCATTAGATGCATTACCGCATGCTCAGTTGGATGGGCTGCATGATTGGCAGACAGGCAAGCATTCATTCATGCCAGGGTGTCCTTCAAATTCTTCAGACCAACACTGGGCAGGTCTGTCTCTGATTCACGTCACTGGCCCACCAGCATTCCTCTTCACAGGACGTCAATGTATGTGTGTATGGATATGGTTGAGAGATTAAAAGCTAGAGATTAGCATAGGGTATGTGTAGTCTTATAAATACATCCTGTGAGTTTACCTCCACCAGATACATGACACTTGGGAAGTATTGCTATTTTAGTGTTTTCTGTCAATAAGATTCTGTAATTAGGCCCATTATAATTGTGAGCACCAGGCCCAAATGGGCTCTTATCCTACCCTGCATATTTATACAATATAAAGCTACCTTTGCCTCGTTAGAAAACATGCTTTTTCAAGTTGTCAAATTGTCATTTTTCTACAAATTACAGAATTGAATAATACATTGAAAATGACCTGTAACTTGTGTTAAACTTTTTGTGCTTTTGTGCATTTCATTTTAAATTCATATTAAAGCTAGACATGTGCAATTCGTTTTGGTACGAATGTAAATGCGGGCGAATTTCAGGCCTGAAGTCCTGAATTTTGGAACTGCCCAAACAAAACAAATTGGCAAAGTCTCGAATTTCGGAAGTGCTGAACCGAACCAAACGGCTGAAGTGTTTCGGATTTCTGAAAAGTGGCAAAAAAAGAGATGGAGGGAAAATTAGGTGAATGATGACAGGGTTAGTGTAGGGTTAGGGTAGGGTGAGGGTTGGGGTATGGTAGGGATAGGGTTAGGTGAGGGTTAGGGTAGGGTTAAGGTAGGGTTAGGGTTGGGTTAGGGTAAGGTTAGGGTAGGGTTAGGGGTAGGGTTAGGGTAGGGTTGAGTTAGGGTAAGGTATGGTTAGGGTAGGGTTGGCTTAGGGTTAGGGTAGGGTATGGTTAGGGTAGGGTTGGCTTAGGGTTAGGATAGGGTTGGGATAGGGTTAGGGTAGGGTTTGGTTAGGGTTAGGCTAGGGTTGGGGTAGGGTTAGGGTATGGTTAAGGTAGGGTTAGGGTAGGGTAGAGTTAGGGTTAAGGTTGGGTTAGGATTGGCTTAGGGTTAGGGTAGGTTTGGCTTAGAGTTAGGGTAGCGTAGGGTAGGGTAATAGTTGGGTTAGGTTTAGGGTAGGGTAGGGTTAGGGTTAATGTTATGGTAGGGTTAGGGTTAAGGTAGGGCTAGGGTAGTGTTAGGGTAAGGGTAGGGTCAGGGTTAAGATAGGGTCAGGGTAGGGTTAGGGTTAGGGTTAGGGGTAGGGTAAGGTTAGGGTTAGGGAGCCCTACAGATTTTCCGAATTGCCGAAGTCCCGAATTGCCGAAGTGCCGAACCGAACTAAAGTCCTGAATTTCCAAAGTCCCAAATTGCCAAAGTCCAGAATTTCTGAAGTGCCGAACCGAACCGAAGTGCCGAATTCCCATTTGCTGAAGTGCCCAATTTTTTTTCTTACCCGCATTTCCGAACCGAACCGAATTTTTGGATCATGCACATCCCTAGTTAAGGCTTTAGCAATTCAGACCAATACCAATTTCGATCTAGGCACAGACTGGGCACATAACGCAAATGAGGAAAAGTAGATACATAGTTTTATTTCTCCTCTTCTCTGTATGTTTTGTCTATGATGAATGCCAGATAAAAAAGAGAGTGTGTAACGGATCGCCTGGCACCCCGACTGGGTACCTCCGTTGAAGGATGCTCCTAGCGCTTCCTGAGGACTCCAAGCACTCTGGCAGACACCACAATCACCGAACCAGAGAAACAAATAAATTCTCCCAAGCATATGAATGCTGTAGACAGTTGAATAGGAACCATACGAATAGGTTTACTCTCCTGGCAGTCAAACTGGAACAGCATACAATAAATCCTTCCCCCAATAATGAGACAACACTTCACTTTGAGGGTTAAAACAGGAACTCAGGTGCTGGCACACCCAGCCTGGTTTTTATTACAGTCTTGCAAATACAGGACCGCCCACAGGGAGGTATAAAACAACCAATCACATCACAGTTATATCCCACATATTCCCTCCCCTTATCCTGAGAGGAAACTCAATTACACATACAGTTAAAACATACTTTCTACCCAACTTTCATAACTTTAAAACCATACATGACATTCACATAAAATTACATATTCACAATCAATCCATTCAGGGGAACAACATATTAAAAAAATGGCATGAATCCGACTAGGGGTTCAAAAGTTAGTAAAAGTATCTTTTGGGCCCTGGCTGGCACATGGCTATCTGGCTCAAACAGGTTTTACAGAGCCCTCTATCCTGGAGACAATGGGGAAAGTAATCCAATTATCCAGGGATAGAGGCAGACTCCATTGAGCACATGGTTGCAAAAAGACATAAAACACTTTAAAATACATAAAGTCACCTTTTACACATAACACAGACATTTCACATATCCCCAGATAGCTGGGATCTGAGCACACAAAACTACCGAATAGCGCTCAGATCCTATTCACACAGTTCAATGACATGGAGCCGAAGTCTTTAACTACACGAATGGGCTCCATGGCATAGCTATCAGGGTTAACACATTCACATAAAGTCTAGTCCATAGTCCAAAGGCAAGAGGCGGGCAAGCAGCCCCCTCCAAGGACACGTGGCGAGGCCGGTTTCGCCACATTTATCCCCTTTACCATCCAGACTAACAGGGTATCTGACCTCCTGCCGGTCAGTGCCCTGGTTAGTCCAGCAACCCACCCACGAAGCACAAACAGCAATATAGCCCACCCACAATAACTGGTTACTACACCTGGATAAAATAGCAACTTGTCCATGTCCAGGTGCCTCACCACAGCTGTGCGGGGGGCTGGTAGACTGCCTTGGTGGGTTGCTGAGTGGGCAGAGACCAGCGGTACTCTGCCCGGGTGCCAGCGCTACCACCGAAGTAGCCTGGTTGGAGCCTGGTTGGGGGAGGGGGAGACCGACTGTCTCCCCTCTGGATACACTGCTCTGTGGCTGGGGGACAGGACCGACCGTCCCTGCCCCTGGGGCTGCAAGTGCAGAGACTACGGTCCCATCTGCATAGTTGTGGCGCTTAACATCTCCCCTTGGTGGGTTAGGCTGCCGCTGGAGAGAGGGTGTAACAAGCTCCTCTCTCTGAACTGTAGACTGCCGCTGGGGAGAGGGGGTAACCTGCTCCTCTCCCTGACACTCTTTTTGCTGGTGGAGAGGGGGACCAACTGTCTCCCCTTTCAATATTTTGTCCTGCGGCTGGTGTGCGAGACAGACGGTCTCTGCTTCCTGGGTTACACACTGCCGCTGGGGAGGAAGGACGGCACCTTCAGCTCCCTGGGGTACACACTGCCGCTGGGGAGGAAGGATGACACCTTTGGCTCCCTGGGATACACACTGCCGCTGGGGAGGAAGGACGGCACCTTCTGCTCCCTGGGGTACACACTGCCGCTGGGGAGGAAGGACGACACCTTTGGCTCCCTGGGATACACACTGCCGCTGGGGAGGAAGGACAGCACCTTCTGCTCCCTGGGATACACACTGCCACTGGGGAGGGAGGATGGCACCTTCTGCTCCCTGGGACACACACTGCCGCTGGGGAGGAAGGACAGCACCTTCTGCTCCCTGGGGTACACACTGCCGCTGGGGAGGAAGGACGACACCTTCAGCTCCCTGGGATACATACTGCCGCTGGGGAGGAAGGACAACACCTTCCGCTCCCTGGAACACATACTGCCGCTGGGGAGGAAGGACGACACCTTTGGCTCCCTGGGACTCACACTGCGGCTGGGGAGGAAGGACAACACCTTCTGCTCCCTGGGGTACACACTGGCGCTGGGGAGGAAGGACGACATCTTCAGCTCCCTGGGGTACACCTTTGAGTCCCCGTAATGCACTCTGCCACCGGATAGGGCGGCCAATACCTTTGGATGGATCTGCCATGAACTGCAGGTACTCTGCTGTTAATTTCCTCACGAACTGTACGTATTCCTCAGCGGGGTTGGGTCCAAAGAAAGCCAACCGCATGGCAACCTCTCTGTCAAACCGCTCCTGAGTATAGCCAGGCGCCATGCTTGCTCTGCCGCCGTTGGTTCCTTTGTAGATAGGGGCGCTGTACGGATACTAGCGTTGCCCTCACTTTGTAACTCCAAACGAACTGTGTCTCTGAGCTGCTTTACCTCCCACTAGGACGCCATCCTACCGCTTGCCACCAATGTAACGGATCGCCTGGCACCCCGACTGGGTACCTCCGTTGAAGGATGCTCCTAGCGCTTCCTGAGGACTCCAAGCACTCTGGCAGACACCACAATCACCGAACCGGAGAAACAAATAAATTCTCCCAAGCATATGAATGCTGTAGACAGTTGAATAGGAACCATACGAATAGGTTTACTCTCCTAGCAGGCAAACTGGAACAGCATACAATAAATCCTTCTCCAATAATGAGATGACACTTCACTTTGAAGGTTAAAACAGGAACTCTGGTGCTAGCACACCCAGCCTGGTTTTTATTACAGTCTTTGCAAATCCAGGACCGCCCACAGGGAGGTATAAAACAACCAATCACATCACAGTTATATCCCACATATTCCCTCCCCTTATCCTGAGAGGAAACTCAATTACACATACAGTTAAAACATACTTTCTACCCAACTTTCATAACCTTAAAACCATACATCACATTCACATAAAATTACATATTCACAATCAATCCATTCAGGGGAACAACATATTAAAAAATGGCATGAATCAGACCAGGGGTTCAAAAGTTAGTAAAAGTATCTTTTGGGCCCTGGCTGGCACATGGCTATCTGGCTCAAACATGTTTCACAGAGCCCTCTATCCTGAGACAATGGGGAAAGTAATCCAATTATCCAGGGATAGAGGCAGACTCCATTGAGCACATGATTGCAAAAAGACATAAAACACTTTAAAATACATAAAGTCACCTTTTACACATAACACACAGACATTTCACATATCCCCAGATAGCTGGGATCTGAGCGCACAAAACTACCAAATAGCGCTCAGATCCTATTCACACAGTTCAATTGCCATGGAGCTGAAGTCTTTAACTACACGAATGGGCTCCATGGCATAGCTATCTGGGTTAACACATTCACATAAAGTCTGGTCCATAGTCCAAAGGCAAGAGGCGGGCAAGCAGCCCCCTCCAAGGACACGTGGCGAGGCCGGTTTCGCCACAGAGTGTTTATAACAATGATTGACAAGTAGCCAAGATGGAGGTGTCCAGGCACATGAGGTATGGATTTCTATATTTAAATATATTTTCACACCTCACAAATAATACATATTTGCTAAATATAGAGGATAAATAATATAATATTAATATAATATCAAAAATCCTAGGAATTCTAAAGCGTTAAGAATACAAATCCCTGTCTCTAATTATATAGGTTGTTTCCTCCATGTGTGTTATAAAATTAATTTTTGCTTACCTTTCTCCAGTGCAGAGGCTTACATCTCTGAATCCTGCAACGTCATGCAGGAGACATGTTCAAACAAAACTCCCTGGGTTTCCTTCAAGGGTATAACCCTAATTAATGCTAAATACCGGGAAAAGAAATCCCATATGAGGAGGGGAAAATATGGTGGAATGAAGTTACTACAATAACCAACATTCACAAGGTTAGGGAAATTAAGTAAACTGGAAATATTTAAAAGAAGTAAGAAAGATAGTGGGAGACAAGAAATACAGCATGGCTTCATTGGGGGATGGTCCAATTCAGTGCTCCTCAGGAGCATTGGGTACCTGATACACATGTGCGGAGAGTGTGTGCATCAAAATTGAATCAATACTGCAATATCACATGACCTAGTTTTACTCAGTCATTGCTGTGGAAGAGATTCCAGTGGCTGTCAATGTAAAGCCGCTTTAGGTGTGTTTAACCGTTCAATAAAAACATTGCCACTTCAACAAGCCGCACGTCGGAGATAGAGCTATATTCTTAAAGGGACACTCCGGACAACTTAAGCACTTTAGCATGCTTAAGTGCTTCATGTAAGAGGACTGAGCCATCTTTTATTTAATTTAACAAACAGTGCAGGTTTTAACTGAATTGGCACTTTTAGCCTTGTTACACCCTCTGGCTGTCAATTAGTCAACAGGTCCTGTCACTTCCTGGTTTGTTTTGCTCAGTGGAGCTAATCTCAAGATGCAGCATTTGCTCAGAGCACCTGCCTTGCAAATACTTTTCATTGATTTACATTGGGAAGTCTAGGCAGGGTTAGAAGAGGAGGACTTGCAAATGCATCAGACAAGAGAAATGCAGGTTTTTCATGCTGTTATTAGATATACCCTTAATGAAAAGAAAAATAACTATGAAAAATGAGAGATCAATTAAAGAAACACTAAAAGCACAGACCACTTCATCTCAATGAACTGGTCTGGGTGCCATGGCCCCTCCCACCCCCGTTTTATCTAAGCAGTTGAAAACATTGTAGTTCTGCAGGAACGGCAAAGATTTAATTTAAAGTTAAACCTGCCTCTAGTGGTTGTCACACTACTAGCCACGAGGTGCTTCTGCCAAAATAGCAGAGCAAAACACTATTTCAAGCAGATGGTCTGACGATTACGATGGCACTACAGCATTAGGGATACATATTTGCATTCAGGGCCGGCCTTAGGCCTTTAGGCACCCTGTGCGAAAAATTGTCACAGCCCCCCCCCACGTCATCCATGTATGATGTAATGTTTGTGTTGTCTGTGTATGTGATATGTGTGATGACTGTGTGTGATATGTATGCTATGTGTTGGCTGTGTATGATATTTGTAATGGGTGTATTATCAGTGTGTGATATGCGTGTATTGGTTGTATGTGACATTTGTGCTGGGTTTATTGGCTGTGTGTGATGGTTATTTAATTCAGATAAAAACATGCCTGTGTGTGAATGCAGGTGTATATTTTTGCAGAGTTATGTGCACACAGTCCAACAGTCAGATGCACACAGTTATACATATACACTGTCAAATCCACCACATGCACATAGTCGCAGGCAGATACACACAGGTACAGGCAGTAAAACACATACACAGTTACAGGAAGATAAACACACTCACACACAATTACAGGCAGACAGCCACACACACACACAGAGGCAGACAGCCACACACAGCCACACATACAGTTTTACACACACACACACACAGCCACACATACAGTCTTACACACATACTTACATGCAGATAGTCACACACACACGCAGACAGCCACACACACACACACGTGCAGACAGCCACACACATGCAGACAGCCACACACACACAGACAGCCACACAAATACACACAGGCAGACTGCCACACACACACAGAGGCAGACGGCCATGCACACACAGGAAGACATCCACACACACACAGGCAGACAGCCACACAAACACACACCGGCAGACAGTCACACACACAGGCAGACAGCCATACACACACACACAGACAGTCATACACATACACATACACACAGGCAGTCACACACACAGACAGTCATACACACACACACAGGCAGACAGTCACCCACAGAGACAGTCATACACACACACAGGCAGACAGTCACACACACAGACAGTCATACACACACACACACAGGCAGACAGTCACACACACAGACACACACACAGACAGACATTCATACACACACAGGCAGACACACTCACACTGACAATCACACATAGTTACCTCTGTTCATTGTGGAGGCATTGCAGCTCCAGGAGACTGTTTGTTGGGGAAGCAGGGACTCCTTCCTGCTTCCCCTGCAGCAGTTATCCGGCACCTTTAGCTCTGCCCCTGCCGCAAATTTTCTTTTTTAGATGCCGGACGGCCATGTGTGAGGTCTGTCGGCCGCACGGCGCCACCTGCTCCACAGCGCCCTGTGCGGCCGCACAGCTCACACACCCCTAAGGCCAGCCCTGTTTGCATTCCTAACGTTATAGTGTTCCATTAATATGATTGCTCAAATGTCAAACCAGGGTCCCGAAGCTTTGTGAAAGGAAGCGAAGGTATTTAGTAAATTAGTTGCCAGCTTGTCCATAAGTTAGCTATCTAATACTTAAAAAGATGATTTTATTTTTGGAGAGTAGTGAACTCTGTAGCCAGTAAAAGTCCTTTTTAGGACAAAACCTCAAAACCTTATGACAAAAAGAGCTGATTATCAGAGGTGGTAATTATGTCCACTGGCCCAATTATTTTAATTTTCAAACACCACTACGCAAGTTGATTAAGTATATAGAAAAATTTTAGAATTTGGGAAAGTGACAACTCCTAGTTAATTGGACATTGGTCCCTGGTGCCGGCTTACGTTTAGGGGTAAAACCTTTAACAAACAGCAAGATGCACATTCACAAAATTTATATTCACTTGCTGTTTGCCAGCTATCAATAACTTTAAACCTGGAGACTTTAAACCTTCCTATGCCCCCATGTGCCATGCGGCAGCTGGGGGCATATATACTAAACTTCAAAAATTGGCGATTAGGCAGCCATTGCTACTCAGTCACAAGAAAGGCCCCATCTCTGTGAGCATTGCAAATATAATGGGGGTTTCTTTGTCCAGGATGACGTTTGGCGCTGTCTCCAGCCCGCCTCATGGGCTGATATTATCAATCTCAGGCAATACAATGTTTTCCAATGGAAAAGCATTGTGATTGTCTGAGATCATCAATTAAATGCATTTAAACAGGATTCCCCCTAATACAGCTATGTTTCTTTTGGACTTGTGCAAACTTTTTTGGTGGGGGGGGGGGGAATTAGCAAAATTTAGTTCATGATGCTTTTTGGCTTGACTGAATTTTGGTACCGACAGCAAACATTTTGGAAACCAATTCAGTCAACCAAAAACCAGCAGGAAACATTATACCTATGACTATACTGTAATGAATTACACACAATATTGCCTGGCCAAAAGGCTATGCAATATCAGCAATTTTTGCAATAAAAGATCTGAGTTGCCAAAATTAAATTCCTAAGCTGTCGTTACATTAGCCTGTACACTAACACTTGCTTGATTGACAATGGAAATGCAATGGTGCCAATACAAGTTATCTTGATGGTGGCAGTCGTTTAGATTCCTTTAAATGTTTGGTTTTTGCTGCCACATTCGTTCCTTTGCCATTAATCCTTTTGTTTCAGTCTGTTCCTGCTAGCAGTGGTTTCATTTCCTCTGCTTCTTTCCTTGCAGGTAAGTACTGTGTGTGTTTTATTATTGTACTTTTAGTCATGCATATCTAGGCAGTTAGGACCCACCTTAATTGGAGTACTTTGACGCAGTGGTGGGCTGCATATATCTTGGCCATTTATGTATGTGTAGATACAAATATCTGGACTGCATTACAAAACTCTGAATGAATGGTGCCTTGCCAGACTTTACTGGAAACACTCATTCTTGTCTTGTGCAGCAGAACTGGGGGACTTGATATCTTGTCACTTCCTCCTAGTGCATTTCGCAAGCTGTGAAGGGGAGAAACAACAGAACAGCAGGAGTAAAGAGACAGACGAGAAGACCTGGAACAGCTCAGTGATCACTACTGTAGCAATTGGTATACAAAAAAGGTGGGTAGAAGCATAATCCATTTTTGTGTATGTGCTTGTCAGACAGTGTGAATGTGTTCTTGTCTAACAATGTGAATGTTTGTGTGTCTGGTCTGTGTATGTGTTGGAATGTTTCCAAATTAAGGGATAACTTTGCCTCATATTCCTTGTCATAATCTAATGCATAAAGGGACAGTATAGAGTTAGTGTAGGTGGTCGACCTTTTCTCTCATGCATCGCAGCTCTCTCTGCAGCTGTCACTGCCTCCTTGACTGAGATCATTAATCGCGATGATCTCAGCCAACCCAATGCTTGCCTATAAGAAAGGATTGGGAGGCTAGTGACAGATACTAGAGAAATTGAAGCCCTGTAATGTGAACATTGTAGTTTCTGCAGAACAGCATTTTTTTAGTTGCAGTGTTAAAATGAGGGGGATATGGCACCTAGACCATTTCACTGAGGTGAGGTAGACTGAGTAAATATAGTGTCCCTTTAACTGTAATGGGTTCTTTTAATTAATAGCTCTTTTCACATTGATCAATTATTGTGTTCCCAAGTCTGTATTTCCATGTGTTCATGATTCCTTCACAAAACCTGATCAGTACTGCTAGTTGGCTTTTAGCTTTGGCTCCCATATCCCATCTGCACTTGTGGTACAACTCTTCATCCTCTGACCACCCTGATATCTGATCTCAGGTTTGCTCCTTGGACTTCGCATATGGATTAACCCTCTGTGCTGTTACGTCCATTGAACAGATCCCCCAGTAATGAATTCTGCTTAGTATTAGACTTTACCTTTTGCCAAACTCCTGATACCTTCTGGATTCACAAATGTAAATGATGGTAAGATCCAACTCTCACTTATTCAATCTCAGCCTTATTTCGGACTCTGTTCTCTATACTCTGTTCCCCATGTCTGGAATGCATATCCATGTGTATCTCTGTAACTATGAGCATGTGTGATAGTGTCTAAGAGTGTTTATTGGGAGAGCAACCAGTGGGTTGTCTATAAGTGCATTTGTGTGTGTACCTGTAAGTGTATACTTGTGTGTATATCTTTGTATCTGGCAACATAGGCATGAGTGTGTCTGGATGGGATTGTGTGTCAAGCAGGTTTGTAAGGGATCCAAAGGCAGTCATGTCTGCACTAACCCCCAAAGCACTCATTCAAAATCACTGTGAGTTGTAGACATAATTGGGACCTATTCAGCGCTGCATAATACAGTGATGACAGGGTTATTCTTATTTAAGGGGGGGTTTATTCATTAAACTCATGGCTTCCCTCATTCTGAGAGCGACGCTTGAAAGCCTTAAATAGAGCAACACTGTAGTGGGATTTATACGATGACCAAAAACTGACACGTTTTTCATGGAATAAAAGGGTCACTTAGTGAAAGGCAGGGTAATAAGGTGGAGTGGAGCAGACCAAAACCTACATTTTAAGCCTCCCTGCTCACTCACAATCACTGTGAGTGAGCAGTACAGATGGAGAGCAGACACACACAGTATTAATAGTGCAGTGTGTGCCTGTCAGCATTCAATCTCTGAGAGCTATCATTGCCAGTAAATGTCTGATCCTGGCGGGTCTAGACTCTATAGTTGTCAGTAACAGTGACTACCCAGAGATTGTAGCATGCAAGCTCGCATGCCACCATCACAAATTACAGAGATGTTAACATATCCCATCTTATCTTAAAGCCTTGATATACTATGATTAGTGATGTCCCAAACGGATCGCCGCGGACGGCGAACATATGACCCTGTACCTCACAGTCAGCAGACACATTCCAGCCAATCAGCAGCAGACCCTCCCTCCCAGACCCTCCCACCTCCTGGACAGCATCCATTGTGAAGCTGCATTCTTAGTGAGCTGTCCAGGAGGTGGGAGGGTCTGGGAGGGAGGGTTTGCTGCTGATTGGCTGGAATGTGTCTGCTGACTGGGTCATATGTACAGGGTCATATGTTCGCCGTCCGCAGCGAACCGTTCGGGACATCACTAACTATGATCAATGCCAGTAAACTTCTATCCAAATGCTCTAGCTGCTTGTCAACACCTGACTTAACGCTTACCCACTACTAACTCGCTCAATTAAATCAAACGTTTATTATCTGAATAAACAGACATAGACAATGCTACATAAGCTATTCCTCAAGTACTTGTTATATAAAATGTGAAATCCTTTGAATTCTTTACTTGTTTAAGATATATCCCTAAACATTTCAATCCATAGAATGGGATACAGTATGAAAAAATGAATCTCCAACGTTTTATATTTTCTCTTCATTTCTGCTTGTCATTGTTCCCTCTTTAGGCTGGAAAGGTGGCCGTTGCTTTCCTGGTCATGGATGATCATGGAGTTGTGGGCTGAAGCCTCTAAGCATTCATCTGTGGATTAGACTATCAGGAGATGCATTGGATTGTCTTTCGGTGTAGTACTGCAGGGCCTTTATTTCAAGCACTGCAGTGTGTGTGTTTGTGCATGGACTAGAAGCTCCTAGTTGATTAAAGTAACTGGGATTGATTGCAGTATATGGGATCAACCAGGCTATGTATAAGAATGGAGGTATTTGCAAGTGACCGCAGATTCAGATGACATAATACATACATGTGAGCAGAATACGTTTTTTAATCTTGGTCTATACAGTTTATTGAATCTACACTATCACATTATCAGCTTGTCTCCTATTTTGCTTTATTTCCCTCTCTGAAGCCCTTCTGGATTAAAGAATGAAGAGGTTTTTGTATTTCCTTAAGTTACCCCGTTGTGATTTGAACCTATCACTATTTGGCTCTGTCTCATGTGAGTGCATCCGACATCCATTCTATATATCACTTGGTCTTTTGTTTTACTACACTATATTATATTCCATTTATCCTAGTTTATGTTGCCTCTCCCTTATTAAAAGGGTAAGTGTATACTTATAATATAACAGGCTCCACTGGGTTTACTTGAGTGGAACCATACCACCCAGTTCACTTTGTTTCTTGAGATGACAGTGTTTGTTACATTCATATAACACACTTGTTGTCACTGTTGACAATGGAGTCATGGGAAACAGAAACTTTATCTTATAGTCTTGTTAAAATTATTATACATGCCTTGTCATGCTGTTCTTCTCATACTGATAATACATGATGTCACTACTTGCAACTTTATCAGCCTCAATCTCAAATCCATATATCGCATCCCCTGCGTGAGAAGGACCATGCACATAGAGATCAGAGTTTTGTGTGCAAAAAATGCAAAGTTTTGTATTTTTCTGCCCCTGGCCTAAAGTTTCCATAAAACTGTTCTTAAAATGTATTTGTAGTGTAAACAGTAAAAAATAGTTTGCATTACAAAAAAAATAAAAATAGAAAAGCAAACATAAGTAAACAAAGCTGCAGGACATTAAAAGACAGGACAACATGACATACCAGTGTGAACAACCAACCTTTTATTGCATTTGAGAATGCTATAATGTCAGTATTCAGTACTGACTACACAACATTTTTTATTGTCTGTATCAACAGACATGGAATGATGGAATTATAGTTGATGTAAGGAATGAGTTTCTTTTATGCCTTTTTAAAACAAAATCTCGTTTTACTGACAGCACAGACACATGAAGCACCAGGCTAACAGTCTTAACTGTACCATTGTCATCAAGGCTTAATGTTTGACACAAGTCTGTGTACTTAGCTTGGGACAATATTGCAAACCTGGAAAATCTGGTTTTACCAACATCAAGGCGATTGCTTAACGTGTGTCTGTTTAACCGCAGTAATGAAAACAAGTTCACTGGACGTGGTTATTTTACAATATAATAAATGGCAGTCCGGTGTCACTGTACAACAGGAACATTTGTAAATAACCCATTAACTCTTTATTCCCAATTCCCATATATGAGTCAAAACATTTGTTTTCTACAAGATAAAAACAAACTTAAAAAAAATCGAGCTACTGTTTTACAAAGGTAAGTGCAATTTAACTGATTCTTAAAAAGTTTTGCACAAAAAAATAAATAAATCCTAATTTGGAGTTTCTATGTTGTTGGTCAACAAAAGCCTTGATTTGTCATCTTACTCTTCCTCAAATACATAACTGAGATTTTGAAGGTTTTTTTTAACTTTGTGGACAACAAAAGGCTTTGAATCTCATTCCTGACAGCGGTTTTACCTGATACATGACACTACTGTGATAATGTACGCTTTTCTTTGAGAGGAAAAAAAATAAACAATTAAAAAAAACATGTAACAAATTGTTTTTACATCTTGGCACCTTGTAAAGTATTTTTTATACAAAAGTTTAATAGTTTGACACTCCTCATTAACTAATCAAGACTTCACTGATAATCGTTGAAAGTGTGATCCCAGGATTCATCATGCAAAATATTTACTGCGGGAGGAGAAACACTTTATAACAACTTTTTTTCTTTTTTTTTTTTCCTTTTCCATCTTTTAAACATTTTGAACCTTTTTTTCTTGTTTTTTTTTTTTTTTTTTTTTCTTTTTTTAAGACAGCCAGAAAAGGCAGTGGTAAAATAACATAAATGGGTTGAAAAGTATCAAAAACCAGCAAAAAACACAAAAACTGTACAAAATGCATCGATCAATGATAGAAAAAAAATCTGTCATCTATGTTACAATTTAAAAGCAAAATAGTCAGGGATTACTTCCCCACATTGTCAGCAAACGTCATCCATTATTTTTAAGCAGGGATAACAAAGTACATATGCAGCATGTTCTGCAGTTTTGTTACATACAGTAGGTTTTTTTAATATATTTTTTTTAGTTAACGTAAAGCTGTTGCACAACAAAACAATTGTATTGGACAAACAAATATGCATTTCTTCCTTGCAAGGAATATATTAAAAAAAAAAAAAAAAATTGAAAATATATAACAAAATAAGACCACAAAACATTAACTACCCCCTTCGGCAAAAATATTCATATAGACATGAAAACTTATATACAGTACGGGAAACCTAGTCACCGCGGAAGTAACAATCATGGAACCAGGACTGCAAAATTTGAAATTACGGTGAACTTTGCTGGATGTTATAAAGCCTGAGATTTTTTTGTTGATTTGGCTGCAAATTTTACACTTCTGTGATATGTGAAAGCAAAACCAACTTTTTTTTTTTTTACTTGCTTTAGACTAAGCATGCAAGACACACAACCAAGTGCAATTTAGTGAAATGTTTTTTTAATAATTTTTTTATTCATTCCTTAAAAGGGTTAATGAGGTATGCTTACTAACTGTTACAAATACAGTTACGTTTACTGTAGCTACACATACCACGAAAGGACAACTACCAGCCTACAATCACCGTTTTAATTTGGAACCAACCATTCATCCCCCCTCCCTTGATGCAGAAGAAGGGTCATTTTACAGGTTCACACAACTGTGGCTTGTGCCCACAAAACCCAAATTTCCGCTTTTGAGGGAAAATAAATGAACATAAAGACAAACATTGAAATGACTACTGATGATTGTACTTATTACAGATGTGAGCTGAAAGAAAAATGCCTAAACAGTAAGTTATGGCAACAGATCTAAAGAAAGGAGTTTACTTGCCTCTTTAAATGCAGAACTGTACCCATCTACTCCCTATTCACTGTTAAACAGAAAGACAGCACTCTACACTAAAAGTCCGTGAATACTCAAAAACATAATTTGATTGCTTAAGGCCTGCTTGTCCTACAGGCAAAACAGGCATAAATTTCACCAAATTTAAAAAAAAAAAAATCTAATACTCTTTAAACAAAGAAATGCAATACAATTACATGAATATAATGATATCCACATAAAATTGGAAATTACAGTTTTTGTATTGAATTTAAATTTCATTCAGTATTTACTTTTATTGTTAAGTACAATTGCCTTCTGTATTTTACACTATGTCTCATTTTAACATTGAGGTGGTGTTGTACACACCAGACCAAAAGCGGGGAAAAACATCTTCCTAAAAAAATATTGATATGTCAAACTTTCCTAGGAAATTTGCTAGGAATAGGATATACAATTAATGTGGGATAAGTAATTCTGTTCTTCAAAAAAATAAAAAAACAAAGGCATATCTTAGTGTGTAAAGATACTTTTTCATTTACAAAAGTGTTTTGAACATTCACGACAGATACTTTACCACCTTTAGCCATGCTAAAATACTTGTTTTGATGTCAGCCCCAGAAGGCAATATAGGCGATATTAAAGGCATCTCATTTGTGTCAGGACAGTCCTAGTTTTAGGGCCCTGTCCCACTGTACCAAAAAGCAAAACACCAGGAATCTGTCTCCAAAAAGCGTAGACAGTGCTCCCTACATGGTCTGCCCTCAGTGGGCCAGCCAGAGTTATTGGCAGACAGCCCGCAATTCATTGACGCCAGGCTGACCTGCCCCCATTCTCTATGGGTGGTGCCATTGTCACAATCTGCATCACTGGCATGTCCCCTTTTAACACTCCCACCGGTGTTTCGATTAACAGGACAACAATGTTGGGGGCTATATATGTACTAATAATAATGAAAAAGTAAGCCTTATTGTACTTAATATTTTCTATATTATTTTTTCTCAACATATTGGACACATGGGTGTTTTTTTTAAATTGCCTTTCTACTTGATGAGAATAAGTGAGGGGTCAATTGTGACATCTATTTATCTAAATCACTGATTATGTTCATTGATGTTAATGCTTTAGGGGTTTAGAATTGTCTTTTGTGATAGCTTATATTTTCTATTCGTCCATCATTCACAGTTGTATTCAAAAATTTTTCAATGCATGCTTTGCAGTAAAAATTAATTTTTAAAATTTATCTCAAAAGCTGTTTTTATTTTTACATCTGTAATTTATTGAACAGAAAATAGTGCTGCAGTTCTAAGTTTACTGCAGTAATTTTTCAAAGATTTTTATTTTATTTTTTTTACCAGGTATGTTCAGTGCCATTTTAATA